ATATATATATATATATATATATTATATATTATTATAACGCAGAAACCTAATGGTAAAAAGACAAGACAGCAAAAATACCAGCGGTTTAATCAGATGTATACGATCATAATTTCAAAGTTAATTAGTATTGGGTATTTTTTAGCAGATTATTTTATGATTATAATGGATAGGTACCAGTAAAGATAAACATTTCTTATGCTATGATTTACTTTCTTACAATATCATCATAATTTTTACTTGCCAGAAGAACCATAGCGGCCGCGAAGGTGTACACATAAAACGCCATTATCTAGCAGTTGCAATACAAGCAGATCTGGTAATACTTTCGGTTGTCATATATCTCCAAATGCAGACGTATAATAAATTGTTAGATCTCAGCAAACATTAACAAGATGGCTGCTTATATATCTGCGATCGCCGACCGTGTATGACACAGGTTTCCACGATCAGGCAGGTCTCGCTTATGACTCTCGAATGCCGCCAGCTCTTGCAAATTAATTAACAGAACAGGTGAGCGGTTCGAACGTGTGATTCCCCCTTCCCAAAGAAATACATGGCGAAATGAAATCAATATTCAATTATTTTATCATACGCTTGCTATTTACCCATTATCATACATTTACGCTCATTATAGATTATGTCAATATTTGGGGCTTTAAACATGTATTGTGTTATATGCATTAAATTTTATGTTGTATTATATTCATGTATTGTGCATCTTGTAATTAAATATGGAAGTAAATCCTGCTTGACAAAAAGTGTCGCTTATGCAAATATACGTTTAATTAGCACACACGCGACAGCATGCAGCGCACATGAAATTCAACCCACATAAAAGACATATGACTGGTGCGGTACTTTCTCCAACAGTTCTCTGCTTCTGCGATTAGCGCGCGAACCCGCCGCCGAAAAGAACCTGTAATGTACGATGAACCGGCGACACAAGGCCAGCGGCGACAGCTATATAAGCGCGAGTTCTGCATCACTTGTGGCATACAAGCCTAGATATAGACAGAGACAGCGAGAGCGCCACTTGTTGCTGCACACTGCTGCTCGCACATCCTCGTCCGTAACAAACACAGCGCCTGTTTTCTCACACGCGAACGCATCCCACGATCACCAGCTATGAGACTCGCGATCGTTTGCCTGTTGAGTGTTGTGGTGAGTACATTTCTTTATTTTACTGGGAAACTGCGAACAGGGTACCATAAATAAATACTATACTATAAACAAATAATATAACGAGATGTTTTTAATACGGGTGAAATTATTTGGTGACGATCTATTTCATAAAATGTGGTAATAATTTTTTCTTGGATTGTAAGCGTAAAAAATGATAATCTATTACCCAGTGCTGAGCTCATATCACATCTTATAATAGTGACTATATTATTACAATTATAATTATAATCATTTATATTATTATTATTATAATTATAATCATTGATATTATTATTATTATTATTATTATTTATTTGCTTCTGTTTCTGCGCAGGCGTGTGTCAGCTGTCAGGAGATATGTCCCGTTTACTCGTGCGGTGACATCGCAAGCGCCCTCGTTGATGACTGCTGTCCCAGCTCCAGTCGCATGCTGAGCTGCCTCAGCATGGGCGGAAGTCTCGAGTGTCCGCCCGCCTTCACCTACACGGCCTGTCCCGACGAGCTGGGCAACAACATCTACAACGTGAGTTTATCATAGAGACTCCGGAGAGTCGCGGCTGAAAACAAAATAAGACCTTAGTTCTCGAACATCTGAGACGGGAAGGAAGAGGAGGAGGAGGAGGAGGAGGAGGAGGAGGAGGAGGAGAGGGGAGGAAGTAAGCGCGGGGTATGAGTGGAAGAGGAGAAATATAATGAGGAGGAGGCGTGAGAAGAATAAGAAAGGAAGGAGGAGGAAAAGAAAGAGGAGGAGGATGGTGAAGGGGGAATAGGAGGAGGAGGAGGAGAAGGAGGAGAAAGAGGAGCGGTGAGGGAGTCATCATAACATATATACCGAAAAATGCTAAAAACAGAGCGAGAACTAAAATATTAAAGAAAGCAACCTTCTACAGGGCTCTCTAGACTTGGATTTTATGACTCTTTAGACTTTTATAGGATGCATCTACCACGCTTAATTTGTAATAATGTTGTATGTATGCGTTTCCTCCTATAGATCAGCCTCGTGCTCGATCGCAACGAGTGCAGCTGCGTGAGGGACGACGGTTCGCAGATCTTCGTGGATGCTCCTGGAGCCAGCCCTCCCAGACTGCGGCTTTGCAGCCCGCTGAACTGCATGTGTCCACCCGATGCGCCGATGGTGAACAGCATCATGTGCTCGTAGATGCCACCTTACGATTCGACCTTCGCCGCATGTATATCTATATACGCAACTAATTTCGTCTGGTTAATCGCCAACGTTGTACACCACGCGCGGTTATGTTTAATTGCGTTGTTTATCTTTACTACTGTTGTTTCAGAATTGATGCATTTTGTACACTGATAGCGATATTCATCACTTATAATTTTTCTTTTTAAAGTAACAGCGTTAGGTATAGACCCGGACCATTTATGTACCAGCTTTTTAGTATTATACGCTAAAATATTAATAAAAATGTTTATGATTATGTAAACGGACTTGATCGTGTTAACGTATTTATGCAAAACAGGTCAACTGTACTGAGCCGTTCCTTACTACAGTTAATATCTTCGAATTTTTTCTGCAACGCGGCACAGATGATCCAAGGGGATATACCCACTGACATGTGATTTGAATCCAACTTGCGCAAATTATGAATAAACAAACGCGAAGCTTACAAATATACATAAAACTATAAATTACATGCAATTAGTGATCTAGTGCAACTATTTCTTAGTCAATGTCTTAGTCTTCAGTCTTAGTCTCAGTCTCTGTCTTAGTCTCAAATTCTTAGTCTTCAACTTAGTCAATTCGAATTACACGTTCGGCACGACAATCACAGATTTGTACACGATAATATTTTAACATGTTATGACATAATCAGGGCCGTAGCCAGCTTTATATTGGGGGGAGGTTCGTTTTTCAATGTTGGCAATTTGCTCGGCAGGGGCGTGTACAAGATTTGTACCAGGGGGGGGTCTAACCGTAACCCAAAGTTGCGAGCACGCGAAGGGAGGGTCTGGGGGGCCCTCCCCCAGAATTTTTTTAAAATTAGACCCCCTCAGATGCGTTTTCTGCGCGAGCAAGGGGGGGTTCGGACTCCCTGGACCCCCCCTGTACACGCCCCTTCTCGGGCGCGAAGCGACCAGGCGAGGGAGCCAAGCGACCGAGCGGGGGGAGGGTGTGGGAGGGGGGTGTTCACTGTTCACCCTCCTGCACGATGGAGATTTTGCAATTATTACACTAAAATGGAGCGACCTGAGGTGAAATTCTTGCAAATTTTCAAAAAAAAAAAATTTTGCTTAAGGGGGGGAGGGACTCGGGGGGAACCGTTCGAACGAACCCCCCGAACCCCACCTGGCTACGGGCCTGCATAATTATATATGAATCGGACTTTTTTACAATAGCGACCTAAACGTTTACACTCAACGTCATGGCTGAACATTTTGAACTATTCGAGTGTTGAATAGTGAGATAATAAGTGCGCGCTCACGGCGCATATACTGTATCTAAACAAATCTATTGGCACGTGAAAATTATTTAGATCTATGTGGGAAATTTCAATGAACTTTCACTCCGACAAGTGATTAAAATTCCACCATAGTATAATTAAATACTGGATGTTATTAATGATATGAGAGACGTGTAAGAAATTATATAGTACCACCATAGCACATATCACAGACAAGAAATTTAAAAAGTTTAAATGTGGTTATATGATGAAGCAAAATATGAAACATTACTTACTCTAGCCCATGAATAATATTGCTATCAAATATCGAAATTATGAATCACATTTCAATTTTGAAAACCCCACATGATTTATATTATCTTATTTTCACTGTTTATATCAAGTTGCATATTCTATTACAGGGATATCGCCATATACACTCGCCTCACTACCCCAGGAAATTATATAATTTAATTTGTGAATATGTCGATATGCTATTAAAAAAAACTCGTTATAAAATAGTTAAAGGGTTTTACACACACTCACGCGCTCGCCACACGGTGTTCCTACACCTATGGCGTACACGTGTGCGTATGCGCATGCCTCGCCAATAGACACACTACCTGTTAAATTTCAGTAGGCATGGAGAGATAGAAACGATTAGCCTTGCGTGCATGGCCTCTCATAGCGAAATTATCATCTTATGCGTCGAGATTGCTCGTGTGATCTGTAAACGGGTCAAATCCACGCCTCATGCGTTTTCACGTGCATCTAGACGCCCAGAGAAAGCTCGCGGGCATCGGTGGGCACGTAGCTATTAAAGGCAGGCAAGAGCGAGCCTATAGTAACGACCATTTAGATAAATATTAGGAGACAGCGCAATGTCAAATAGATCCAGTCGACCAGATAATGTTATACATGCGCGTAGGAACGCGTGCACCCTTGCTGACATTCTCAGCACGTAGGCTAAAATTTATTTCTCTGTTTCTTTCGCTCGGTCTCTCTTTCTCTCTGTCTCTCTCTCTCCTCTCTCTCTGCTTCTCTCTCTCTCTCTCTCTCTCTTTCTCTCTCTCTCTCTCCTCCTCGCTCTTTCTCTGTCCTCCTCTCTCTCACGCTTCTCTCTCTCTCGCTCATTCCTCTCCCCTCTCATCCCTCTCTCTCTCTCTCTCTCTCTCATCTTCTCTCTCTACTCTCTCCTCTCTCTCGCTCTCGTCTCTCGCTCTCGCGCGCGCCCTCTCGTTCGTCTCTCCCTCTTCACTCATCTGCTCTCGTCTCTTCTCTCTCTCTCTCTCTCCTCTCTCTCTTCTCTCTCTCTCTCGCTCTCCTCTCGCTCTCGCTCTCGCGCGCGCTCTCTCTCGCTTCCGTGCTCTCCCTCTTTCACTCTCTCTCTTCTCTCTCTCTCTCGCTCTCGCTCTTTCTCTCCGCTCTCTCTCTCTCTAGACACGCACGCACGTACACACTCACACACTCTCACAACACACACACACACACACACACACACACAACAACCATACATACACACACACACACACACACACTACCACACACACACACACATACACACACACACAAACACACACAACACACACACAAAACACCATATTAATATTTATAATACAGCATCAAATTATAAATCTGCTACGATAAATTAGAAGAATTATAATTAAAGTGCATGGAATCTCTAAACGAAAGAAATACATATTTATTTGCATATACTTTTCAACAATAGAAGTTCTCAACAAAAGTATAAAATAATAATAACTAGACGCACTCGAGAGCACAGACCTCCGCCAAGGCATGCTAGGAATTCTCTCACATGTGAAATTTTCATAATTATATTAATTAATTAAGTGGAACAATTTGAATTTATTTATTAAATTTATTAAATAATTAATTGGATCGATTAGTGCGAGCTGCAGGTGGGGAGGACTGTGCTTGCCCTTAGCTGTGGTTTGCCGTGTTTGATAAGAGTCTACACCAGCCCATCTAGCGACCAGTGAACTGAAAAACGTGCACATGTAACAAACCACAAACCAACACTCAAACACACGCCGGTGAAAACATAACCTCCGCCAAGCCCCTGGCGGAGGTAATAATTAATAGATGCAATAACTATTTGTAAAACCTCAACGTAACCATCACACCACAGTATGCGGATGATATAGGCTGGATCATCATAGGACCGTATCATCTTGCACAACACTACAAAGAAACAATACCACCACAGCTCAACAGCAGAAACCTTTCCTGTAACTCAGACAAAACCGAGGAGTATACAATTAAAAGAGGGGGAAGCAATAACTGGAAAAATGTAAATACCTGAGCAGTCGTCTTGGAACTGAGAAAGACCTTATTGAAAGAAAACAAAAAGCTATATTAGCAATGAATGTTTGGGACAATATATGGCGTCACCATCGTATACCTATCACAAAGAAGTACCATCTCTTCACAGCTCTCATAGAGCCTGTATTCCTCTACAACTCCGAATTATGGTCAATAACTAAAGATCTTGCTGGTAGAATCGACTCTTTTCAACGCCGCCTTCTAAGGAGGGCCATAAATATCAGATACCCTCAGAAAATTAGTTCCGTCGCCCTGAAAGAACTACTCAAATTTACAGAATGGAGCGAAATCATCAAAACACACAGAATTAGACTTTTTGGACACATCATAAGACTCTTCACAAACACTCCTGTCATGTTACCACTCTGTGAAGCAGATTGGAAAGTAGATCAGCCAGTCGGTCGACCAATTACTACCTGGCTGAGATTGATGAAGCAGCAGCTGGCAGACATGAACATCAACTGGGAGACTGCTGCTGAAGAAGCGAGTGATAGAGATCACTGACTAAAACAGTGTAGAGGGCAATAACACAAGGGGGAGAGAGATCAGGATGTGCGTAGCACGGCTGCCAGTCAGCACCTGAAATGAATGAGTGTACTTAATAATACAGTGATACTAACAACCGCAACGACAACAGTAACATTCTCGTTCATTTGTCTAATTTCTGCTAAATATACCATCTATATTTCCCATCGCTAAACAGATCGATGCATATAATCAATAATAACCCCGCATCCTCAACAAGCATCGTAATACGCCTGCAATATAGCCTATATCAAGAGCTAATAATACTCTTGCCTATATGTAAGTTACAAGGTCAGAGGTAGCAGCTATATAAGAGTATATCCAGCCAAGCACGGCGGACGGCGTCATCATTTGTGCGTGGCAAGCGAACGTTAGGTGCGCTAGTTCTGGCACACGAGGAGGCCGCTTCTGCGCAGAGCTGTCACGATGAAGACCCTTGTGCTACTATCTGTAATCTGTGCTGCGGTGGTGAGTAGAAAGCTTTTACTTTTACTTTTGGGCCCTTAATAGTCCCACGTGGTTTAATATAAACGAACATGGCAGCATACGCGGTAATAGAAAAGCGAGGTATAGAGGTATAGAGAGTATAGAGAAACAGAGAACTTGTAAAGTCGTAAAGATTCAATAATAAAATTGCTTATATTGTATCTGGGTATAGTTATATATATATAGTATATATATATATATCTATATATCTATATATCTATATATATCTATATATGGACAAATATTAGACTTGCTACCTGCTTTCTTTGTTCGTTCTTCTTCGTTCTTCTCTTTCTTTCATTCTTCACGCGCAATCCACGTACAGTGTCAGTTGCGACTGAATCGTTTCGTGTCCTGTTACGCGCGTTCACGTATTTACAGGTAGCACAGACGGGCGATCCATGCCAGTCCGACTGCCGTGCATTGATGAATGTGGTTGCATCGGTCGAAGATCGATGTCCGACGTCTAGGGTGAACTCACGATGTACGGACGACGCAGGCACGCTGCAATGCGACCCGCCAACCGTGCGGTACTCCGCATGCGATGTCGACGGGAAAACCTTACTCTACAGGGTGAGATTGTCAGCACGATATAACGATAAAGCTATCATATATACATAGCATATACATATGTATGTATATGCATAATATGTATATATATATACTATCACATAATATATCATATAATCATCAGTAGGATAGCTGCCAATATTCTTGGCTTAGTGACACCATCCTCCCATCCGCTTAATTATATAGGTGTAATAATAGTGGCGTGTTGCTGGAGCGTCTGTGACTTCATTATTACGAAAATAAGTTTCATAACCAGATAAACTAAAATGTACCACAACACGGACGAAACAGTAATATATTTGATATACTTGTATCTGTACATTTATATATTTACAGATATCGACTATTGAGCGCGATACGTGCATATGTCTAGACCAGCGCGGGAGAGAGTTTGTGCCACCGGGTGTTAAGAAGCCATATAGCAAACGCCAACTGAGACCCAGGGCGTGCAACGCCAAGGACTGTAACTGCCCCGTGGATGCGGACACCGTGGAAGAACTGACGTGTGAATAAAATTGTGTATACATTTTATATGTATTACCTTGTGTACACGGGCCCCTCAACTATCATATTGCAGCCTCACGAGCTGACAACGGCCTCTAAAAATCAAACACAATTTTTGGTTTCGTAGGATCAGGGCCGTAGCCTGAGCAAATTACAAGGCGGTGGAAGGGGGTACACAATTGTATGATCTAACATAGAAATGACGACGGATTAATTTTGACAGTCGTAAGAAATAAACAACATGTAGGGTCTGATTAGACTGAACGGGGTATTTTCGTTCGAATATTTATAGCATTTTGATTTAGGGTTTTTAAGTAAATTTTTTAAATTTTGATCAAATTCAGAGAGCCAGTCGCGCTACTGACTCTGTTCCGAACGTTATGATCCTGCGAAGATTCAACCTTCAGCGTTGCAAAACGAACACATTGTGTGACGCGACCATTTGCGTAATTGATTGGCGCGTATTACGATTATAAATACTATATTTAAACATGTATACATGCGAGTAAATAAATGAGCATAAAACGAGCTATTTTTTTAGTGTCCTATATTATTCCTTTTGGAATATATACTTTAAGCACATCAATTCCAATCTTCTGGCAATATAGGCCAACAACAACGTATTCACCCCCATGCATTACACTCACACGCAGTTTTACTTACTATAGATTACTAGGGCTTTAGGTACATATTACATATAGCGGTCATTTTCCTTCGCAGAAGGTATGACTATAATATGATATTAACACACGCACATATATAATTGATATATATAGATATATATAGATATCATAGATTCATAGTCATATATCATATGATATATCACATCCATATCATCATCATATAGCTTGATTCGTTCACCGATTATGGCGGCTCGTTACCACAACACGTGTTTCCTTTTGACAAAGTAAATACGCACCTTATCTGAGCCAGCAGTTCTTTCATAACGCCCGCTCCACACCCCCCCAGTCAGCGGCCCCCGCGGCGCCCTCAATCATGCGGCGTCATTGAGCGTTAGAGATGCTGAAAAATTCTGTCGCCCGCATGAAAATTGTCAATTGATTACCCGCGAAACTATCGCCCCCGTTTTAATGGCCAATTAAATTCACGTGAATCAAGAAGGCAAGTGGAAGCCACAGAACATCACAACGAAAAGAGCAGGCATTCTTCTATCGGATTATAAATGTATTACGATTATAATACTAGTATTTAACATTGTATACATCTCGAGACAATATAAATGCAGCCATGAAAACGCAGCTATTATTTCTTAGTGTCCTATCATTTATTCCTTTGTGACATATATACTCTTCAAGCCCATCAATTCAATTTGCATCAGCAATATAGGCCAAAACACGTATTTCACATGCATTTACACTACACGAGTTTTACTTACTATAGATTACTAGGGCTTTAGGTACATATTACATATAGCGGTCATTTTCTTCCCGCAAGGTATCAATAGAATCATGATACACACGCACATATATACATATCATATATCTCAGATATAGATATATATTATAAACATAATATATATATATATATAGCTATTCGTTACCGATTATGCGGCTGTTACAACGTTGTTTTCTTTTGACAAAGCTAAATACCACCTTATCTAGCAGCAGTTCTTTTCATACGCAGAAATCAAACACGTCCAATAATGCGGGTATTTGAGCGTTAGAAGATGTCGTTGAAAAATTCTGTCATCCCGCATCGAAACAATTGTATTGATCATACCCAACACTATCGCCACTGTTTAATGCACATTTAATTCTGACATCAAGACAGGTAAGGTGGAACGAACAAAATAAACGCGAACAGAGCAGCCTTCATCGATTCATAATCATTAAGATTATCAACATATCTGTGTTTAACATTATCACATCCGACACAACAATAGAGCATCCCAAAACAGCTATTTTTTAGTGTCCATATTTATTCCTTTGGAATATATACTTTAAGCACATCAATTCCAATCTTCTGGCAATATAGGCCAAAACACGTATTTCACATGCATTTACACTACACGAGTTTTACTTACTATAGCATTACTAGGCTGTTCATGACATCATTACACTATAGCGATCATTTTCACTTCGCCAGAAGTATAACTATTAATATGATACAACGCACATAATATAATGATATATATCTGATCACAGATATATATCAGTATAATCACTAATTATATATATATATATATAGCTATTCGTTACCGATTATGCGGCTGTTACAACGTTGTTTTCTTTTGACAAAGCTAAATACCACCGACCTTATCTATAGCAGCATGTCTTTTCATCACCAGAAATCAAACACGCTCCACCAATGCGAGTATTGAGCCGTTAGACGCAGTGTTGAGAAACTTCGGTCATCCGGCTCCGCATAGAAAATTGTACTTGACTTCACCCAATCGCTATCGCCCAGTTTCATGGCATCATAAATAAGTGCACATCAAGAAGTCTAAGTGGAGAACAGAAATAAACGACCAAGAGCACGCCATTCTTCTGATTATAGCAAACCATTAGAGATATTAAGCCAAAATAATGCCTTCGCTATCTGCCAATCCACAAGCACTAATCACAACCCAATCGAACCAACCATTCAAAATGTTTTACAACTTATTTTCACTTCGGGAGGACCGTTGATACAATAAACTAATACAGACAATCAATCACCACTAACACCGTGAACGGATGGAAATCAGCCTCATCATAAATCTCTGCACCCAACCACGTGAACTGCACGGAGAACAAAAACTGCATAGGTTGAACCACGGGGTACGATCCCAACTATCGTCAATTGGACCCACGTTCACGTCCATCCTAATAAATCACTACATTTACCACAATCCACCAGGTGTATATACTACGCCCACCACAGTCGTGTCCTCACAAAACCTTCGAACAGTGACGCAACAAAAAAGACAACACACGCAACACTCACCCAAAAAACAAAAAAATACAAAAAACCACCGCAACCCCACACAAGAAAAAAAAGAAAAAACAGCACCATCAACAGAACCAAACAAAACACCACACAAACCAACCTACACACGAAAACACAGCCATCCCCTGGCGGCAGACAATCAAAACCGTTAGCAGGCTGCATAGCTGTGGCGATCGGCCTACTATAAGCCGCCACGCCTGGATGACCCGCGGCAATGATCTCAAAACACGCTCCCCACACCGAAAACAAAATCAGGGATCGCACATCATCGCCGCCAATCGGGATATATCACCATAGTCGGATCGTTAGACGACGATAGTGAACCAAGTTCATCTAGCCATCACACCCCTTATATTCAGCACCTGATGGCCCGCTTGATTAGCTCTAACCCATAGCATTAAAACTTTCACGATGTTTCTGCACACAGCACCCTTTGAAGGGCTCGACAGGTAATGAGAATTATCCCCCAAAATTTCCAATATTCACCAACAAATTACCCAAAATACATAATAACACATCAAACAAATTAACAATTCCAAATCTATTCCCAAATTCATCACAATCATTTGTTCACATTTCGGAAATGCACATATAATTCACAAGTACACCAATACGTGTAACACCAACATCATTATCTGTGGCACCTAATCAGGACGCCTTCACCATCAAAATCGTGTGGTATTCGCACCAAGCATCCATGAAACAACACATCACAGGCAACGTACATTCGACACCAGCATGGTGCAAACACAAAAGAAAACGGCAGAAAAAAAATACCAACATGCTTTCCACACCACATTAAAGCGTATACATGAAAAATAGATAGAAAACAGCTTAAAATGACAGTCAACCTAAAAGGTACAAATTACATAAACCAGGATACGAATTCAATGCATCACAAATTCTGGCGAGTTGTTTATTACATTGAGCTCAAAGAGTGAATAATACAAAGCGTCCTTCCAGAACGCTGTAATACGACTCTCACGAGTACACACACCACGCGCGCGCCACCCACGCCACTGTACAGCCACCGCACCACCACCCCACCACCACACACCAACATATCAAACGCCACCACACACTAGACACACACACCACCGACACGCACACAACACACACAACATGCGCACCGTGCAGCACGCACACGCTCACACCCCAACCGCGCCATACCACGCCACCACTCACCAGACAACACGCACGCAACCACACACACGACACCACACCGAACGAAGCAGCCACGCACACACACGCACACCACACACACAGCACCAACACATTCATCACACCACACATCCACCACACACCACCACCACACACACACACCACACACCAGCAGAGAGAGCAGATGAGAGAGCAAGACGAGAGAGAGAGAGAAGAGCCCCGAGCAGGGAGCAGCAGAGAAGAGAGAGAGAGAGCGATAAAAGAGAGCCGAGAGCGAGAGAAAGAGACAAGAGAAGCGAGAGGAGTGGAGAGCAGCAGCAGAGCAGACAGCCACAGACACCCCGGACAGACGACAACACCACACCAGCCCAAGGGCGTCGCCGCAGGGGGAGGAGTCCTCGAGCGAGTAACAAGAGTTAGGGTTAGGGTTAGGGTTTGAAAAATAAATTTTTAGTTAAATGTAAAAATAGTGCTTTGAAATCAATTTAGACGCTGTTTTGTTGACAATACTATTTTTTCTGCAGCTCTACAACAACACCGATGTCGTGACCGATCCAAGATTCCAAGGAGGGGGTTAAAACAGGCGGGGGGTATGGGGGTCCTCCCACAATTTTGAAAATGTGGATCGCAGGAGATGGTATTTGAGGCACTTTTGAGTACATGTACAGCCTTCATTCTGACTACGACAATTCTATTTTTAGTGGAACAATTCTTATTTTCTTTTTGTTTTTTTTTAACTTTCGGATGAACAAGGGGGCCATGGCCTCCTTTGGCCCCCCCCTAACTACGCTATTTTTTTAACGTAATTTTTTTTAACGAGGCCAGGATTAGGCCAGCTACGCGCTTTTAACAGAAAAAGAAAATAGAGAAAAAAAAATTTTATTTTGATTTTGATTGGGGGGATTCTAGGGCCCTCAAGACACCCCCCCCCCTGGCTACGCGCTTGACAGACAAACAGACAGAAGCTGCTTACGTTGCTAGTACCTTATAGAGCTTCCTGTTGGGTGGGTCTCCGCAGAAGTTGTACTTGATGGGCGGGTCGCGTGGAGGACAGCTTAGCATGCCTCCTTCATCTACGCAGCGAGAGGACAGCCGTGACGTCGGACACTTGTCTCCCGAAGCATTGATGGCCCGGGCGATGCCAGCACACTTCGGCACACACAGGTGTTCGGTGCACTCGGCAACCGCCTGTGAAATCAGAAAGGAGCAGCCCAGAGTTTATATACTGCATGTATCGAAAATACATATATATATACATATATGCATGTATGTATACATATATAGTATGAATGTGTATATGCATATATACATATATGCATGTATGTATACATATATAGTATGAATGTGTATACAACTGAGAATATCAGTGACCTGTGGTGTGCGGATGAGGTTCTGGAATGGCGGCATGAACGTTGCAG